TCTTATTGCACAACATTTTACCAGTCAGGGAATTGCAAAGTGTCAAAAATACTTGGTCGTTAAAATCCTGTTAAACATTTCCGTAGATAGGTCTAAAGTAACAGATTCCGAAGTCTTTTAGGAATAACTTGGTCTATAAATATATAATTCCATTTTTTCAGTGTTCAATCCTTTAATGATTTTCTGTATAATATTTTAATCATATCCAATTTCATATTATAAACCTTTTCATCCATTATTCTTGGTCAATTTCATATTGTTAAATTGCTTTTATGTTTATAATGTACCTTAATTAGCACATCAGTGCATGTTTTCAAATTTTGATCGCCGAAACTTTGCGACTTCAATCGACGACCAAATTTGTCCGCGCTTGGATAAAAATTAATGAAAGATTTAAATTCTCTAGATGTCGATGAGTGTTTAGACGATCCCTGCCACCAAAATGCTACCTGCCACGATACATTTGGTTCATTTGATTGTGATTGTAATGAAGGATTTGTAGGAGATGGTTTTAACTGTGAAGGTGAGCTATATTCACGCATTGGTTTGAGTGCATGAAACATGATCGGACTGATGACACTATAAGGAATACCGAATTTTTGTATATCCATGCAATCGTGCTTACTAACTCGTAGTTTGAATATACTTTTCATGAACCTTTTAAAGACTGTAGGTGCACATTGGTTATCGAGTTTGCACGAGCGCAAATATACGCGGCAGTAAGCCACGGTTTATTCTATAACAGTATTATGTATCAAATGTCTTCATTTTTAATGCTTTTACGAGTATGTTACGCAAAGTTTTCACCGCGGTCTCATGTGAAAAGAGTCAGTCAACACTCTGCCGAAAGTCGTGGATTTTCTCTGGGTTAATTCTGCGGTTTTCTCCCACATGTACAGTTGACAGGGTGGGTTAGGATAAACACAGATAGCTAAGAAAGTAGTATCACAATTGTTTTAAAGATAAAATAGTCTAGGCTAAGTAAATAATTAGAGTAGGTAAGCCTATTCTTGATATAAAGCGCATTTGATCATATCCACATGCAGTGGCGTAACGGAGGAACAGGGGGCCCTTAGGCATATTTGGTGTGGGGGCCCCTGTTGTCATACCCTGGGTGCCAACGCTCATCGGTTAACCAATGAAAAGACTCACAAAAATTTAGACCAATCACAAGCAGAGTTCAAATATTGAACCGGCACCAAAGTGAGGCTGGATGCTCGTGTGACCAGAGCCTCCTCGTCGTGTACTCACTTCTATCACAAGAGGCTCTGGCACCCAGGGTACTGTTGTCATTGTTTGACTGAGATATTATATTTATATTGAATATTTATAAAGTGTTCTGGAAAATGTCTATAACAATAACAGTCTCCAACACATGTAACAACTAATAAGAATAACATTTGTTTTATTTGAGATGGAATTAAAAAATCAGCTACCGTTGTCGATGGAGGCTTTATTATTTAGCATTTATATTAATTTTGCATTTTCCCATTGATTCTTAACCTGCATTTTTTACATTTTCTAATTTTCTGGGCGATAGGCCGTGGGTGATGGGGGCCCTAACTGTCGGGGGCCCTTAGTTTTTGAACTAACCCTACCCAATGAGCAACTGTCCACATGTGAATTTGCGCTATAGAAATGTTATTCGTAATCATAATCGTAAAGAAGCTATCGGCAGAACAGAATACAGGCCACGTTCAAATGTCTCTATGTGACTAATTTTTAGATAGCATGCAGGCCCTAATTGACACCCATTTTTTTTTTTCAGCCACGAACTGCACTATTCTTTCTTGTGGAGAAAATGAAATGTGTGTCCAAGAAGACAATATTTTCAAGTGTGTTTGTAAGGATGACTATGAAGAACCTGATTGTCGTCTGGGTAAGAAATACATATTATTGCAAATACCAACAAATGGTAACTCCTAATATCCTGAATGTTTTTCATAAATGCTGTTAATGCTTTACAGATTGCGAATACTGATGGTTTTTCGACCATTCCTTAGTCATGAATGAACCATGCATATATAGATGAAATGTAGAATGTGTACTACATATTTAACAATTATTCACCAGAGTGGAGACGATTAGTGCAAACATATGCAGTAGCTTAAAAGAATACCTCTACACATTGCTAAACAAAACGTTGTCGATTTCTTTGTGTTTGGCGAAGCCACAGCTTCCTCCACTACACAAATTTTCTCCTCTGTAACAGGAACGAAACGGGAAGTCATTTTTATTATTTTTGTCTGAAATTGAATAGTACAATAGCTGAACTGCCAACTCTGTTTGATGTCACTAATTATATAATATTACTTACCATCCATATTTTAGGGAAAACACAACAACCCTATATCTTGCATGGGGGTGTCACACATCTTTTCTGACATAGTATTTAATATTGACAGTTAAAGAGACATGCCTAGCAAGAGGTGATCCACACTACTCGACATTTGATGGAACACGTTATGACTTTATGGGTAAATGTGAATACGTTCTTGCTAAAGACAGTAGAAATAACACATTTGAAGTAAGACAAGTGAATGAACCATGTGGAAATGGAGAACCTTCCTGCACAAAATCTCTAACAGTGATTTTCCCAAATGTAACTATCCAACTATTGCGGGGAAGTGTTATGGTAAATGGCACAGATATTGTTTTGCCTGCAACGTATGGAGGTAAGCACACGAAAATGAATTTACCATACTGAGTATTAGTTTCCCAGATTTTGCTTTGATGTCCAGTAAGAATTTCTTTGTTTTGCATTTAAAAGGGAAATGGCAACATAAATTTTTATTTGTTCATTTGAAAAACTTTTGAAACTACAGTATATATTAACATCTTTTACCGATTTTTCATATCTTGCTTAATTCTTGAAATATTTTCACTTATCATGCATATCTAAAAAAATTCAAGATGGCGGACATTTCATTCCTTTCAAAATATTTGTGGAAGTAAGCAAGATATGAAAAAACGGTAAAAGAATATTATATATAGTCTTACAAGTTCATTCCAATGGGAAAATAAAAAATATTTCGCCATTTCCCTTTGATATAACATTGTTTCAACACTGTTTTAAGCTTAATCACACGGCACACGTTATTAGACAGCATTTTGAGAATAGCTTCCACAGATAAAATATGGAACGAACCAAAATCTATACGCACTCGTACTTTATGTATTAGAAGTCTTCAGATTCAAACCCGTAGAAATACTTTTTACATGCAGGTTTGTTCATAGAGCATAGAGATTATGAATAACACCAGGAAAGGCATCGTAATCTTAATTCAGTCAAAGAAAGGGAACGTGGCTATTGAGGGGGGGGGGGGCAAAAAATTAAAGTAATAAATAAGAGCGAGTTTAAGCCAAACTATTTAAATTCTTGTTTATGGCAGTTAAGTAGTCCCGTTTTGATTTTACTAAGCATTTTTACCTCAATGTTGTCTATAACTTGTAGTAATGACGTGCAAAACATATGAAACACCCAGTTTTGTGAAATTTGTTTTGAAATTGTCTGGTTTCAAGTGTAATCCAAGAATTGTGTGGTGTTCATCTGGGATTTCAATTTGTCCCCATTACCGCGCTCCCAAATTTCACCCTCGATGCCCCGTCTAGTGTTATTTATAATCTCTATGGGTGTGTTAGCGCAGCTTGACCAGTTACCATGGCGACCTCGCAACTGATTAAAACTGTTACCGAAAGAGAAACAACGCCCAGAGACTTTTGCTTTCTGAATTGTAATTTAAACATCTGTTTGATAACTTATGTGCAACTTCGCCATTTCAAAATTATGGTTATGCATTTGGAAGTTTCTAAACAAACTCTTTCAATCACAAATTACATTCACGTTATACATATAGATCTAGCTTGTTAGACGGAAATTTCGCGTATAAGTATGGTGTTGCTGTTGCTTGATAGCACGTGATAATTAGCTTATTACACACAGTTATTTTTCTGATAAATAGTTCATTCTTTATTTCATTTCCATTCTTCATTTTTCTTTTTGTATAAAGGTGTGACAATAACTGAACCAAGCAACAGAGTAACGTTGATTGAAAGTGATTATGGTGTAGAAGTTGAATGGAATAATGTACGTAATGTTAGAGTGACAGTGCTTGGACGCTATCTCAACAGAACATCAGGTTTATGTGGAACATTTAATGGTAATCCTGGAGATGATTTCTTGGCAAGAAATGGAACAACTGTTCACAATGCTGTAACCTTTGGAAATTCTTGGAAAACTGAACCTGACTGTGATGATGCAACAGATGTAGAACATGCATGTTTAACTTACTCTGACAGAAACGCGACTGCTATAGCCAACTGTTCAGCTTTGTCATCTTCTCCTTTCCATGTCTGTACAAACCAGATTAATCCAGATTCAGAGGGTTATATTACCGATTGTGAGTATGATGTATGTGCTTGTGGTGATGATCCTATAGTTTGTCTATGTCAAGCATTAGAGGCTTATGTCAGAGATTGTAATTCAACTGGAGTGGATATTGATTGGCTGAGTGATCCACGATATCAACAATGTGGTACGTATGATCACATCGTTACCTCGACTTTGAATCAGCTGTTAATCTTAATTTTCAATTTGATTCTGTGTGAGTTTGGACAACGTAAAAAAATGCGACCTGAATTTTGACAAATTCGACTTAAATTTCAAGAACTTCAACATCAATTTTAGATTTAGGTTCGAATTTTGCCACTTATACCCAGATTGTACCTTCTATGTTTCTTCATTTAGGTTCTCCATGTGCCAGTGATCCATGTTTCAATGGTGGAACTTGTTCAAATGAAGGGGCAATATCATTCTCATGCTCATGTCCTGTGGGATATGCTGGTGAACGCTGCCAAATCCAAGGTAAGTAATTGCTTGTGGCAAATAGGTAGCTTTATATATATATATATATATATTTATATATATATATATATATATATATATATATATATATATATATATATATATATATATATATATATATATATATATATATATATATAGGCTATATATATGTACTATTTACAACATGAGCGGCCGTGTTGTATCGGATATACAAACTCGAGCCGAAGGCGAGAGTTTGTATATCCGATACAACACGGACGCGAATGTTGTAAATGACTTAAAAAACGACTCATCTTATGAGTTCATTGGCGAAGTAATTTTAAAAATAAACGTTGTCTAAGCCGAGAAAATCAAAGTTGAAGTTTATGTAAATCAACATGAATCTGTATCACATATACAGATACGACACGCTTATGATTTTTCTTTGTGTTTTCTTCATGAATTATTAATGAGTTTTTTAAATATATATATATATATATATATATATATATATATATATATATATATATATATATATATATATATATATATATATATATATAGAAAGACACAAAAACTTATCAAGCTTTGTTTGGCATATTTATTACTATACAGTTTTGTACCACGTAAATAACGTGG